GAATATTGTGCACCTGTTTGGAATCCTTTAAAAAAAAAAAGACACAAGGGCTCTAGAAGCCGTCCAGAAAAGAGCAACTAAACTTGTTCCAGCAATAAGAAATTTAAATTACGAAGCCTGTCTAACTTATATCAATCTACAATCTCTAGAACAAAGAAGGCAACTAGGGGATATGATACAATATTTTAAAGCATTCAAAGGGTTTAATGAAATAAATTAGTTTCATACCAATGCATTACCACATTCCCTTTTAGCACAAGGACCTGCAAGTAATGTTCGAGGTTCTAAATTAAGAATTTCGAGACAATTTACAAGAAACCAAGCTAGATATTACTTTTTTACAAACAGGATTGTATTCTTATGGAAAAAGTTGCCAAATCAAGTTATCAATTCCAGAAGCACCAATGAGTTAAAGAATTGATATAACAAGTTCATTGTTGCCAAACAGGCATCTGCTAAAGTCTCCTAGACAGACTTCATGAGAAATTATTTTTTTTATTTTTTCTCATTGCAGATTATTGTATTATATTATATTATATTATATTATATTATATATATATATATATATATATATATATATATATATATATATATATTATATATATATATATATATATATATATATATATATATATATATATATATCTTATACTGCTGAGTTAGGTGAGCATGATGATGTCATACTGAAATAGCCTGCTGCCAGGGGCTTCAGTACAAACTTCGACTGACAAAAAAAATGTTGACAAACCTTATTTACAATTAATATATGCATGTTTAAGATTTAAAAAATGTTGTCAGTTCACTGATAACTTTTGATATAAAAAAATCTGACAAAATATCAATAGTTTTTTTTTTTTTTTTTCTGATATAGCAACTTAATTGACAAAATTAAAGTTTATTATACCTAAATAAATAATTGTAGAAATTGAAAACTAGTTGGCTTATTAAAAATGTTATAAAATATATTTTCCAATAATATAAGCAACATTTGAAATTGTTGTTCATCAACATTGTCAATGGTGATTTAATTTTTTATAAAATTTTTAGTCCTCTAAAATTTTTTCAAATAAATATGATATATATTGTCCTAATGAGAAAATCAATTTTTAAATGGGATCAGGGCAACTTTTCCCCCTCCCCTTGCCCTTCTTTATTTATTTAAAAAAAATATACCATCTTAAAAAAATCATACTTCAGATACATATTCAAAAATTCAATAAAAGATATATTGGCATTCAAAAGCCAATATATCTTTTAATGTGATATTTAAAATAAATATCACATCTTTTGAACATCTCTGAAAGTAAAACTACAAAAAATTAAGTTCACTTTACATTAAAATATAGTATGACATCATCATGCTCACCTAACTCAGCAGTATAAGATATATATATATATATATATAAAATTAAGTAAATTTAAAATTTGCCTGTAGAAAAAGACTTTAACAATCCAACAACTGAATGGTAAGAAGAAAAAATTATCTAAGATTTTTCCTAATTAGTATTTCTGCTCTCCAGTGTACCTCCATTATACCGGTGCCAAATAATTCCATATTTTTTTAACAGGTTTCTTACACAAGACATTCAAAATCTCTGTTATAATCTTCATCAGTAAATGAAGTTCTGGAGGAAGATTACATCAAGCACATACATCACTCCAGACTCAACTAGGAGACATGGATGTATAAGATTCTTGTAGAGTTGCATAGAGCTTTTTTTAAATCCACTTTCAGCAAATTTTTATACATGTTTTTCAGCATATTAAAGGTTCTCAGTTCTCCAAGATTTGTTTTATTGCCATCACAAAATAAACATGAATATTTTCCCCCATATCCTAACAAACCCAAAACTATATTGAGTAATTTAAGATCTGTGGCAAGGTATTTATTTAAATTGTTTACCTTTGCTTTTTCTATAAGAATTTAAAGATTTGTATGGCTTTTACAAATATTTTTGGCAAAAGCCAATATTATAACTTTGTTAACGCCAGTATTCTTAGTCTTTGGAGTCATAATTTCCTTCTCTATTAAAAATATTCATAATAACTTTTAAACATCCTTGGCCACTATCTGTTTCTACACAAATAATAACATTATCGATTTCTAGTCCTCTAGAAGTGCAAACGTGATTAACTAGAGATATTGGATCTTTGACATACACTAAATCTTTAATGACAGTTTCAATAGTTTTATTTTCTTTTTGGATAAAAATTCCACTTTTTTCACTAAATAATAGTTATCTAGAGCATGTGACAATATCCTAATTTTTTTTTGAAGAATTAAATTCCACATCTATTCTACTCAAATCTTTTCTTAATTCCATTGCTATTGAATCAATAGAACAGTCTGAAATATCATGCTTTCTTTTGATATTACAGAAAGTCTGGCTAGAGATAGTTTTAAGGGTTGGCTTTTTTCTAATCTGCAGACTCAAAAGAGTTCCTCCAGTCAACAATGTAACAGTGTTGTCGAACTCAATATTTTTTAAATTGTTGAATTTCTTTTAGAGATTTGCTAAGTAATTGCTCAATTGTTTTTAAACCTGAAAATTTGTAAATATGTTTTAGGATTAAAAATTTAGGCTTACAAAAAGTTTTAATTAAGCTCTTACCTGTTGACATTTTATTTTTAGGTTCTGTACAATGTCTCTCTTACTTCAAGGATGTTGAATTCCAGATCCAATTTTCTGATAAAAGTACAACAAATTTTGTCTACTTTGGTACTTCAAGTTCATGAATGCACATCCTAAATATAAAAAACTATACTTATTTAATCTATAATAAAAATTATAATTTTATAAATGTTTTAAACATAAATAATTGAACTACATATATGAGTTCTTTATAAATTACCTGAAAGTTTATAGATCTGGATTTATCTCTTGAAATGATACAGAGCAGGCAATCACATATTGACACTGTATTACCTATATTTACATATGTAAACAAATATTTGTTTATATTATAGCTTAAGTACAAGTATTACCTACCAAGATAACACTTATCTTCCAAGATAACACTTGTACTTTATAATTAGTAATTTATACTCACCGATGTGAGCAACCACCTCTCTAAAGTAACCAGTGATAAAGGTTCTTCTATTTTAACAGAGTACAAATAAATCTTGCAGCTTGGACATAACTCAATAGAGTTGGAAAGAAGTGTCGGATTGTAGTTAGTGTTGTAGTTAGCATACAGTTGAATCAAGATTAGTAAAGGATTCCTAGTTACCAGTTCAATACATTTTAAGTTCTTATCACCACAACAAACACAAATACGTTTTCTTGAAATAAAATGATTCCTTGGTTTGTTTGACATTTTAACTATATTAATTATGTTAGTTTGAATGCAAGTAAATAATATGTTATATTTTTAACTAAAGCATATGCATACATACATATTAAATTTAGTAACACTAACTCTTTTGAATCCTAAGATATTTTTATTGAATTTTTGCATATGTATCTAAAGTTTGATTTTTTTTAATTTTTAATTTTTAATTTTTTTTTTAAATCGTATAACTTTTTTTTAAAATAAATAAAAGGGGGCAAGGGGAAGAGGAAAAAGTTGCCCTAACATCCTTTAAAAAATGGTTTTCTCATTAGAATGTACACCAAAAAGTTTGTTCTTTTCATAATATTTTTAAAAGTTCGGAATATCTTGCAATAAAATTTTTTGAAGTAATACGACCTATACTATACGACCTATACTATACGACCTATACTATACGACCTATACTATTTGACCTATACTATACGACCTATACTTTATGACCTATACTATACGACCTATAATATATAACCTATACTATACAACCTAGAATTGATTAGTGTTCAGTTAACTGGACATTAGTCAATTCTAATCTTTAGCTTTGATTGTTTTTTCTAAAACTCTTTTATCTAAACTTTGAGGTATTAAAATTTTGAGGTATTTTTTCTCAAAATTAGCTTTTGATACCATAATACTTTTAAAAAAAAGGTTTTATTTTGTAAATATTTTAACTTTTTTTGTTACTGTATTTTCATATTAATTTGTTTTAAAGTTATGTTTATTTAACTTTTGAAATTTTTGTTCAAAGGGTTTATTTAAAATGTAAATAGTAGGTTTTATTTATTTGATTGAACTTCAAACAAATAAATAAACTTCAATTTTAAACATTAAATTTGCTTTTAGACTAAATTACTAAATATTTTTGGAGCTTAACTTAATACGGAGTCAATTAGAATATGCCAGTATATTATACCTAGGTCAATCCAAAGTGCAACTAAAGAGACTTGACATAATACAAAAGCAGTGTGTCTGTATCATCTGTCATAAACCAAGAAACACTCATTCGGCTCCCCTTTTGAACGAACTAAAGCTCTGCACCTTGGGGGAAAGAAGAAATGTTCATGCAACAAGAGTAGTCAAGTCGGCATTGTCGGGAGTATGTCATCCATCAATGGCTAAAATGTTTCAATTAAACGGTGACTTGAACCTTATCATTAAAAAAGCAGCAAACCGACAAGGTAGTAAAGGCCTCGATATTATAGGGGCCAACATATTTAACGGAGTTGTCTCTTAATATATCTATCGCGTTATGCCATTCGCATATACTACTCAAGCAGCGGAAGAGGAACCGGAAATAAAAGAACAAAAAAAAAAAAAAAAAAAAGTTTACTGATTTTATATAAATTATAAAGATATTGTATTTATAAAGGCAAAGTTGTTCAACTGTAATTGAGTTTAAATAATAATAAATAATAATAATGATAATACTAAGTTTATTCTAGCATTTGTTATTAAAATGTACAACATCTATTTGTTTTTAATTATTTTGAATAATAATTAGTGGCTAGCAGACAAAAAATTCTGGAGGAATTACAGGGAAAAAAAATTCAAATGTTTTAAAAATTAATTATGTTATTGAAAGACTGTTTTAAATAGAAACTGCAGAAAAAATCCTTCCTATGTGTATGTTTTATGAAAACATGTGATAAAGGAGACAAAGGAGATTTATATGCATTTATATTGTTTTAAAATTATTTGTCTAATTTTTTTTAAATGGGAGTGGCTGAGGATTATAAAAGTATCCTGAGGCCTTTTCTGGACATTCAGCATCCTGCAGTCTAGGCTTGTAACTTTCTGTCAGCCACTCCTGAATGATAATTTATAGGAAAACAAATAGAAATATAAAAAATTATTAGTGTAATATAATTCATTGTATTTACATTTAGTATTAACATCAATTAATATGGATTTATTCAACTCTGCACCTTTGCTGAGGCGTCCTCTTCCGAAAGTTACAAAGAAATCATTTTTAGCCACCTCTCATGTAAAGAAAAAATACTCTGAAAATCTTGTTAATTTTGATCTGCAATACCTGCAAGAATTATGTAAACCATTTGGAAATTATTTACCTAGACGGTTTGATATTATTCAAATGTTGTTAGACAATTTAAAAGTTTTTGATAAAATGTTTTTAGACAGCTTTGTAGTTATTTGAGTGCTTTTAAATGATTTAGGAGCTATATGTTTCTTTAGATGGTTTTGTATTTGAAGAATTTTTTTTAGTTTTTTTTAGTGATGATAATTGGTTGCTTGTTTTAGGACTCCCAGAAAGCACAAAAAATGTTATAAACGGACTATTTTAAATAATCAATGCATAGAATTAACACCTACTGGTATTATGCATTTGCCTGATGTTTCCACACTTCAAATTGAAACTAAGCCTAAGCTATGCAGTTACCCAACAATCAATCGATCATGTGTCCTCAATATTCTTAATATTCCAAAAGAAGGTTTTAACAGAATATATACAAAATATTTATAAATTGCTTCCTCAGAAGTTTGAAAAGTTATTTAAAATCTTTTTTGTTGATCTTTTTTTTTTTCATATATTTTTTTGTTATTAATACTGTGTTTTTTGTTAGTTATTTTTGAATTAATTTAAGATAAAATACCTAAAGTTCCAGAGAAAAAGCCATGGAGACAGCTCTTAATTGGTTTGTAGTTTGCTTTTTTTTTAATTTTATTCTTTGCATTGTATTTTCTTGTTTAAAGTTTTTCCAGAGAATTATTTTACATAGCAAATTTGAAACAATTTTAATTACTTAATTAACTCTTCATTTTTATTTGGAAGAGGAAGAACAACGTTTACAATCTATGCTTATTCATCATGAAAAAAATGTAAATAATCCTGTCTACAACATACAAAACATTGTAATTCCAATTCATTACAGTAATGAAGTTCTGTCAGCATTTAATCAAAATCCAATAGGTATGCTTTTGTTTTAAAAAGTAAATTCTAAGGAAATATTAAAGTTATCATGTAATAAATGCTTTTAATGTTTCGTTTTAATGTTGTTTTAATGTTGTTTTTAATTTCACTAGAGAAATATTAATCATTAATATAAAAAATATATAACTTAGCAAATTATTTTTTAAAATAATAGCGCTTATGCAACAGGTAGTCTTAATTACCTTAAATATTCAAGTGATCCAAAATCTTTTTATGTGTAAATTTTGTTTTTAAAATTTTAAATAATTTTTTAACTTTTTTTTAATTATATTTTAAAATTGAATTTGTTGGTGACTTAAATTATTAAATGTTTTGTTATATTCACTTTTTAATAATTTTTTTAATAGAAGATAATTTTGATAAACACAAAAGTATGAAAGACAAATCTTTTGAAATAATCTACCCAAAATATTTTTCTGATAAAAAAGAAGCAAAACTTCATTTAATGGTAATTTTTCTGATTTTTTTTTTAAATAATAAACTTCTAAAAATAAAATTTATTGTAACATTTAAAGAAATTTTCAGGGAAACTCATTAAGATCTGTACCACAACTTCCGTTAGAGGTTTTTTCAATATTAACATGGGTCAATTTATCTTTCAATGATTTTTCGGTAAGTTTCATTCCTTACCTTTCTTTCTGTAAACTCAGTGTTTGTTGAGTATTATTTTTTATATTTTTGATTGACAAGTTTGTGTCACTCTAAAATATATGATTATAATATATATTATTTAGATAAGTTTGATTTAATTAAATAATCATAACTTTTAAGAAGCATTTGTTGCTATGTAACCATTATGTGTAAGTAGTTGAACCACGTATCCATTATATGTAAGAAACATTTGAAATATCTAACTATTGTATGCAAAAAGAAATTAAACCATGTAACCACTACTAGCAAATTTATTGATGCAAATAGTCAAAAATAATAATTTTTTTTAATTTAAAAAATTTAGGGCTTTTTCAGGAAAAAAAAGCAAAAACAAAAAATAATGAATATATATATATATATATATATATATATATATATATATATTTATTTATATATATATATACACATTTAAATATATATATATATATATATATATATATATATATATATATATATATATATATATATATATATTTATTTATGTATATATACACATTTATATATATATATATATATATATATATATATATATATTCAGATCAGGTCAGGTCAGGTTTATCCTGCTACTGGTAGCATGTAACCCAGTACAATTGCTTCATGTCCTGCTGCTCCCTCTGACATAAAACACTCCATGCCTTGGGGCTCTTGGTTGAGTAAAGGCTAGAGATAGTGTCTCGATAAAAATACTCATCTTGGGCAGATGTTAAATGCATCCGGCTGCTGTCTTGTAGAAGGCCTCCTAGGCAAAGACTTAAGGGGTAAACTGATTCTATCTGTTGACCAGCCTAGCACCTCTTCTTCATCTATTAGGCTGGTGCAGATATATTTTTAATACATTGTTTCCAGTTTAGGATGTTAAATGCTGGATCTTTTTGATCCGATGCATGGGCTTTGCTTGTGTCTCTGTTTATATGACTAGGCAACTCATTCTATTATCTCCTAATAGGGTACAGCTCTAAAACTCAGTTTTATGGTTCTGAGGCCAGCTGGTAGTCAGGTTTCTTGAACTCTATAGTAGCTCTCAGAGAGGCTGATTCCATCAACAGCTGAAAAATATCAAAGTACTAACAGTGCCATGTTGCGCATAGATGGTGTCCCTGTTTGTACTTTTGGTGTGCATTGCCAAGGCCATATTGGAGCCCTTTGTTACAGCTTAGGGTTTATTAATAGTAATGAGGCAATTGCTTGGGCTGTAAGACAGTGTACTGAGTACTATCTATGTTTCGAGTCAAGTTTTTTAACAAATTTAAAAATAAATAAAGTAACAAAAACTATAAAACACAAAAAACCACAGTCATCACCTAGTTCGCAAAACCTATCATTCACTAATATTTGTGGTCTTTGAAGTAACTTTTCTTCTGTTGAGTCTTATCTCTTGCAAAGTTCACCAGACCTACTTGCTCTTTGTGAGACTAATTTGAGTTCAGCTGTCTCATCTTGTAATCTTAGTGTTGATGGTTATCTTCCTTTAATTCGTAAAGACTCCAATAGTCACATGCTTGGCCTGGGCATTTACATTCGTAAGAATTCACCCATTTGTCGGGAAACTAGGTTTGAATCCACAGACTACTCTTTTATGTGCTTTCGTTTAGCACCACTTCACTCTATCACCTTTTCTCTTTGTTCTATATCGCTCTCCCTCATCTCAAGACTGCACTCTTCTTGATGTTATTTCTGATCATATTGATCAGAAATAACATCAAGCCCTCTCTCTTTATCCATCAGCCAAAATTGTTGTTGTCGGTGATTTTAATGCTCATCACACTGAATAGCTTGGCTCTAGTATCAGTGACTCTGCAGGTATTAAGTACTCAAATAGTCAACTTTCTAACTCGCTTTTCAGACAACCCGAATCATTTACCTTCTCTACTCGACTTATGTCTTGTTTCTGATCCTAGTCAGTGCTTAGTTTCTCCACATTTACCCTTAGGTGCTTCCGATCATGGTTTGATCTCTCTGAAACTATTATCTCATTCTTCTTTATCATCAGAATCCCCCTATCATTGTACATCTTACAACTACCTTAAAGCTGACTGGGACTCTTTTCTTGATTTTCTTCGTGATAACCCTAGGGTAGAAATCTTTCATCTTCCTGTTGACAAATATGTTTCTTACATAACTTCGTGTATTCAGGCTGGCATGGATTCCTTTATTCCCTCTCGACAATTTCAGGTCAAGCCTCACTCTTCTCCATGGTTTTCCTCACATTGTGCTGCTGCAATTGCCAATCGAAACCATTACTTCCATATCTATCAACAAAACAATTCTCCAGGAAACAGGCGTCTGTTTATTACTGCTAGGAACCATTGTAAAAAGGTTTTGTCTAATGCCAAATTCCCGCTATTCTCAGATCATGAAAACTTGTATTTCATCACAAAAATTAGGCTCTTGTGACTTCTGGAGAATTTTTAATAGTATCAATAATAAAGGCAAGTCTGTAATTCCACCTCTTTTGTATGGTTCAGAATTTGTCACCTCACCTAAAGACAAAGATTAATTGTTTGCTAAGAACTTTTCATCAATATCGACTCTTGATTCCACTAGTTGCATTCTACCTGATATAGCCGTCAAACAGGTTGATCCATTTCTCGACATCCGTATCACTCCAGCTTCTGTATCTAAAGTGATTTCCTGCTTATACTCTTCTACAGCTTGCGGTCCGTACAACATACCTGTTATAGTCTTGCAGAAGTGTTCTCCGAAGCTGTTGTCTATCCTTTCAAAACTATTCAATAAGTCCTTATCAGAGTCTTGTTTTCCAGCCTGCTGGAAAGCAGCATCTGTTAATCCTCTTTTTAAAAATTCTGGAGAGCAATCCGATTTGTCAAACTACTGTCCCATTAGTCTTCTTCCTATCATAAGCAAGGTTTTTGAATCTTTAATTAACAAACACTTAATTTCTCATCTTGAATCTAACAACTTACTTTCTGATCCTCAATATGAATTTCGATCTTCTCGTTCTACGGCTGATTTGCTAACAGTAATAACTGAAAGGTTTTATCGCGCATTAGATAAATGTGGAGAGGTTAAGGCCATCGCTCTTGACATTTCTAAAGTATTTAATAAAGTTTGGCATGCTGGTCTTCTCCATAAACTTTCTTCTTATGGTGTATCTGAAAACATCTTTAAGATTATTGAATCCTTCCTTTCCAATCGTAGTATAAAAGTTGTCCTCAATGGACAGCACTCTTCTTCTTATTCTGTAACCTCAGGGGTTCCTCAAGTTTCAATCCTTGGCCCTATACTCTTTTTAATTTACATTAACGTTCTTCCAGATATTCTCACATCTAAGGTGGCATTGTTTGCCGATGGTACTACCATTTATTCTTGTCACGATAAGAAGCCAACTCTCTCTGATTGCTTGCAGGGGGCATTTGAGCTTGAAAAGGATCTCACTTCTGCTACAGCATGGGGCTCACAGTGGCTTTAATTCAGATAAAACTCAATTTTTTTCAGCCAATTGTTATCACAATAATTTAGACCTTCCTATATTTATGAACGGTAATGTACTTGATGAGTCATTTACCTTTCATCTTCTAGGATTAACACTTACTTCTGATCTTTCTTGGAAACCTTATATCAAATCCGTTGCAAAATTAGCATCTACTAAAGATGCAACTTTTTATCAAACTTTCTTACTCTGGATTCTATTCTCTATCTCTATGAATCTCAAATCCAGCCTTGTATGGAATACTGTTGCTATATCTGGGGCGGATCTTCTAATGATGCTCTTTCTCTTTTAGACAAGGTACAAAAACGAATTGTAAACATAGTTAGACCTACTCTTGCAGCCGACCTTCAACCTTTGTCACATCGTCATAATGTTGCTTCTCTTTCTCTTTTCTACAAATACTATAATGGGCACTGCGCTAAAGAGCTAACCTCTCTTGTACCATCTACTAAAATTCATTTTTATGTTACTTGTTATTTAATTAAGTCTCATCCTTTTTCTGTTACTGTTCCTAAGTGCTCCAAAAACTCTTAATCGTCTAGTTTTTTTCCTCGAACATCAGTTCTTTGGAATTTGCTTCCTTCATCTTGCTTTCCTGATTCAAATAATTTGCAATCTTTTAAGTCATCTGTCAATCGTTATCTTGGTCTACAATCTTCATCTTTGCTCTTCCAGTAACTTCCAACACTAATTAGTGGTTGCTTGCAACCTTGTTGAATGCGATGATTATAAAATATATATATATATATATATATATATATATATATATATATATATATATATATATATATATATATATATATATATATATATATATATAAAGTATAATTAAATAGAAAAATACAACTTTATAATGGAACTAAAAGTTTCATGCCTATTGGCAATTTATAGCCGTTTATATTATACAAATCAAGAAAAAAAACCGTTAAAAAATACAAAATACAAAACAGCAGTAGAATGAGTTCCGACGTCAAAACAAAATGAATAAAAAAATGTGAGAATAAAAAAATGTAAGTGAGAATAAAAAACTGTAAGTGTAAAAAAATGTAAGTGTAAATCGAACATTCTTCTGATATCAACACAGTGCAACATAAAAATTGTAAATTATCTGGACATTTTATTAAACCTCAATAACCACACCTACCAACCTTACTCTAAACCCAGAAACTCTTTAAATTACATTCATGCTGAATCAAACCACTTACCCAGTATTTTAAAGCAACTTCCGCATTCTATTGAATTCAGATTATCAGCAAATTCGTCAAGCGAGGAAATCTTTCAAAAATCCACATGTATAATAAAGCATTAAAAAAGTCCGGTTTTAATTACAATCTTTCTTACCAACCTAGTTTAATATTATCTCACATCAAGAACTGTAAACTTAACATCATTTGGTTCAACCCCCCTTTTAGCAAAAACTTTAGCACGAATATAGGAAAAATATTTTTAACATTAGTTGATAAGCACTTCCCTATAAATCACAAGTTCCACAAAATTTTTAACAGAAACA